AGTATGAATCCTAAGAGGACTCTACATGGAAGAGTAAAAGTCCTACTAGGATTATGCCACACGGAACCTACAAAAGCTCACAAGCATCACCTATGGAGAGGTAACACACAACTTTGACTCCCGAATTCACAGAGCTTTTTATCTGTTTGTCTATTTTGCTGACTTAGGCATCGGAGAGGTATCCGGCACACACTCGCTGGCTAGCTCACGTTTGTGTTTTCAGGGAGTAAAGCGACGACGTACGGAGGAGCGCAGACTTGATCAACAGGATTATACGGAAAGAATATTTCGTGCCCGTACAATTGGCGCCGTCTGTGGAAAACATCAGACTAGAACAAAACCTCTTGATCAAGCTTTTCCTCTTTAGAAGCAATGGCGCACAACGAAGATTTGCCGCAGTCCGCCATCGATGGACAAACACCAGAGGGGGGTGCAAGGCGCGAAGGCCTACCATCTATCCCTTCCATGGCGGACTTGGAGCTAAAATGACAAAATCCCAAGAGGGATGCAAGGGGGAGGAGGCGGACTAACAGCCCCTGTCACTCTCATTCACGAAGTACTGACAGACAAAGACAGAGGATTGATCCTCAAGTTCTGGAGGACTGCGTGAAGGAGCAAGATGAATTAGTAAGGAAGATGGCGGTGGACATAAAGGCCATGAAGTGCCAGATCAAGGGAAAAGGGGTGGCGACAGGAGAGGGGCGCAAAGGCAATGCGCCTCCTCGCTACTCAGAAGATCGTAGTAGACACACCACGACATCGTATGCAGAGAGTAGAAGCCTCAGGACGAGCGACACTCAATCAAGGACTTCCAGAACTCGTTACTCCAGGTCTGAGAGAACGAGATCATTAAGGTCTTACACAGAGGGAAGTACCTATCGGCCCTCACACACGCACCATACATCATCCAGGCAAACGGAGTTGCCTAGATTGTCCGACTTACGGACTGTGCTTGAAGAAAGGGCGCGACAGAAGGAGGATGCCAGGGCACGCGACCCATACAGAGTTTCAGCTCTTCGGCGATTGGCTCCTCAGACGCATGGAAGCGTCGAGGTTGGAATGCCAGCACCACACCTTGCCTACGAACTAACAGATAAAGCATTGGCAAGACTACATAGTTCGCCGTTCGTTCCCGCGATTAAGAACGCATCATTACCCTCAGACTTCATCCAGCCTAAATTTACCACGTACGAAGGGAAGACAGACCCTTACATGTACCTAAGCCACTTCCGTCAGGTTATGGCAGTATATCGACGAAATGAGGCTTTGATGTGCATCATCTTCCCATCAAGCCTTGGTGACCTAGGCTTGACTTGGTTCGAAAAACTTCCAGAGGCAGCATAGCCTCCTGGGCGCAATTGGTGTAGGCGTTCGTAACAAGGTTCAGAACGAACACCAAAACCCCGGTGGAAATTAATCAACTGCTCTCCATCGACATGGGCGAAAAAGAGTCATTAAAATCCTACAATAGCCGCTACTGGGAGAACTTCAACCAGATTGGGGACTGCCCCACCAATCTCGCCATCGCACAGTACAAAAGAGGCCTTCCAGTCGGGAACAGACTAAGGGGCTCAATCACTATGACACCGCCTCTCACGATGGAGGCCTTAATGGAGAGAGTGCACCAACACAGTCGGGTAGAAGAAGATGGTGCCCGTACTAAGGCAAAGTCTAGCACGACCGCAGTACCAGATAAAAAGACCGCGACAAAGGTCAACGCAGTAGAACGTCCAAACAAAAACGGACGCGGCAGGCGAGACAACGGAGAGGACAGGATAAAAGATGGTTGAGAGTCCGCACTGCCATAACCACGGCATTCAAGAAACCGATCTATCGGATTCTAAGCGAAATACGCGATGAGCCTTTCGTCAGATGGCCAGCTAAGCTAGGAGAAGCACAGAAAGACTACGACGAAAGGTCGCGATGCACTTTCCACAAAGAAAAAGGGCACCGCACTGAAAATTGTATGCCATTGAGACAGCATCTGGAGGAGTTGGTGGCAGCTGGTCACCTGGATAAATACATTGAAGGAGGGACGCAACCAGCCCCCCAAGACCACAATAACCCCAATGGAATGCCAATTGACGCCCCAACTCAAGGTGTGATCAATGTGATACACGGAGTATTCGAACCTGAGCGTGTATGCGAGCTTAAAGGATCGATCAAGAAGGCTGAGCACTTAACAGAGGTATTGAGTGCCCAGCCCACCATTAAAAAGGGGATAACAGAGGCCATGAACGTCATGTCTTTTTCAGACAAGGATTTGGAAAGAATATATTGCCCTCACAACGATGCACTGGTCGTCACCCTCCGCGTCAAGGATTACAACGTCAAGTGAATTCTGATAGACCAAGGTAGCTCGTGTGAGATAATGTACTATGACACCTTCAAACAACTGAAATTGGAGGACAAAAACCTGGCACCAGTTGTATCCCCCCTGATCGGATTCAACTCAATGCCAGAATGGCCAGTCGGCAAAATTATCCTGCCAGTCAGGGCA